CAAGGGTCGTAGTCGGACCGTCCTCCATATGTGACCATTGCAGCCGAAAATGTCATATGTGAACAACTATATGAAACACGTACTAGTTGTACAATCAATAAAATATAGTGTACCTTTTGAAAGTACACATGTCGCAGATATAACAGATATAACAGAAAATTAAAATTGGAAACTATATCTTTATATCGATGTCAGCTTCTTTGTCATGAGAAAGACAACGTTTCGGACTAATCACCTGATGAAGGAGTACGCATATACAGCAAGCTACGGTTATAACGAACTCAGAGGCCACTAATTTTAGTTCGTTATAACCGTAGTTCGTTATAAGCATATGTACAGCATAGATACAGAAGTGGCCGGGGCACAAAAATAAGTTCGTCATATTCGTCAGTTCGTTATAAGCGTGTTCGTTATAAACGTAGTTTACTGTACTCCGAAACGTTGTATTCCTCATAATAAAGAAGTTGACATCGATAAATTCTCTCTCTTATGTGTGTCACTTCTAAATGCCATTTAAACATTCATCTGTGTCCGAATCCTCATTAAATGTAATGACTAAACTTGCAATCAGGATGCTATTAGTTTAATACCACGAATCAGCACGTAAAACTGATTTGACAATATCTATTACACATCAAAGACTAAAACTTTTCTTCATCACGGCGTTCGAGGCACTCAAGGGCTTTTCAGCTTAAATCCGACAAGAACTGGGCACTTGATATCAGTAATTGAAACGTTATTGTCTACTTATAGTATTACAGCAGCTGTTCTATGTACTCTACAGACCACTTCAGTCACGCTGATATAGTCTGTAATTACCCACCTTCCCTCTGTTTGTATAGGCCTTTAGCGTCACCCTTAAATCTATGACGTAATGATGACGTAACGTTGACATTACAGGTGGGGTCCTGCTAAGTTCCCAAACTAATGCAATGCCATAAACCATAATTGTCATTAACGCTTTTTATTAACCTGTCATTTAAGAATATGTTTGTATCGGAACTGAAAATCGAACAGTGAGAGAAAACCTAATTACCGTCAGCCGACCGGGTCAAATGTGACGCGATGGAGATTAAAGCTAGCTTATAATCTTGGGCAGTATTTGCGTATTTGAAGGACACGTTGACTTGTAAAGTTAAAGACAGACGACATGTCGCGCCGTTACTGTGTGTGAGCTTAGTGTAGGGATCAAGTGACTGCATCCGTCTGCTTCTTCCGGTGTTGTTTTTCAAGTCTCAGTCATATCTGGGAAAGTTAATCTTTTAAAAGCATAACGCCACTTAACGTTCTTCTTAATTTAAGACTGACAGACGTTAAGCAACAAATGTGGTTATGTGATACAATATCTCACCACCAAAGGGGAAACGCATACATTTCTAGAAAGACATTTGAGCTAGATACATTGTATGCATTTATTAAAGACAGTTGTCTCAAGAACCTTATATTTGTCTTTGAAAACAGTGGTGATCTTTATTGCAATTACATGCAATTTACATGTTGTAACCACTTTCTTTCTATCGAAACGGGAAAATCAGAAAAATCTAACTCATTTTAATCCGTCCAGTAATCTCAGTGATAAATAAAACGACATTGGAGATGTTTATGTTTTCATGTACCTAGTATTTGAAATAGTAAGACGCAAATATTTCTTATCCTTCTCCTGTAAAAATCTATGTGTGTATAAAATGTGAAACCATTTCAGCAGAAATAAATGGAAATGTTAAAAAAATCTAAGAAAGTGTGCGTTCTAAAACTAAGAGAAGATATTTACAGACCATCAGTTTATACCCAATGCGTTCTGCTGTGTCTTCCTGAAAACACCATGCCATGTTGTATGAACACAGTGTACAGACACACCTATGTATGAATGAATACTTGTACATGTGTATGACAGTCATGTATCTCGTATACCTCGGTCTGAGTGTAATAAAGTTCTGTTGTTTTTCTCGTGCCGGTCAAGACTTAAAAGTCTGTCATAATAATAATACGAGAATAATCAGGGTCACCCCGGTCGTGCGCCGTGTAAACACAGTCGTAAACCATGCCCTACATTGGCCAGGATGGGAGAAACCCGAAGTCATCTTCACGAAGTGACAACAAAGTGATGGAGACCAAGATGAATTCCTTTCATTGTTTACAAGGATATAAACTAGACATAAAGAACGAAGAGTGAATGAGTGAGTATATGTTTACGCCGCATTTAGCAATATCCCAGCAATGTCACGGAAGGGGACACTCGAAATAGTAAAAGAATAATATGAAGAAAGTGAGTGAGTGGGTGGGTGGGTGGGTGGGTGAGTGAGTGAGTGAGTGAGTGAGTGAGTGAGTGAGTGAGTGAGTGTGGTTTTACGCCGCTTTTAGCAATGTTCCCGCAATAATACGGCGGGGGACACCAGAAATGGGTTTCACTCATGGTACCCATGTTGGGAATCGAACCCAGGTCGTCGGTGTGACGAGCGAACATTTTAACTACTAGGCTACCTGACCGCCCCTGAAGATCCTGGGTATCCTATGATATAACTAAACCATCGATACTCTTTCTGGTTAAACTTGACATTGTGTACACAGTGAAGCCTCGTTATTCCGGTGGTTACCGTGCCTTTGAAGTTAACGAACCACAATAGGGTTTATTAAATTGTTTAGACACGACCCTGCAGTTAATGGCCAGAAGGAGGGGTGTCTGGTCTTATGAGGTTCCATTGTAGGATAAATGTTTCGTTTTCAAGTAATATGGGCCGGGCATCCCATATATCAAAAGTTCAGATTATTTAGACCCCATTTTTATGTTAATATGAATATGTAAATATGAATTACTATTCACTACATATAAAATACAGCTGATGATGTTTAGTGATGATGTATGAAATCACAAAGAGAATCTAAATTTAATTAATATAAATTTTATTTCCCAAGCACGTGCGTGTAACTTATACATTGAATAAGGAATATTTACTCAAACATGTAATATATGATTCGTGTAATCACACGCAAACAATGTATCTACTTTAGTTTCATCACGAACTAGGTGTGAAAAAATAGAATGCATAATCTCTTATAACGACCAATGCTTTACTTGCTCTGGTTGCTAACGAGTAAGAAATAGTGTCACGTTATGTTTTTCAATTTCAGTTTCATTTTGATAATCATAGTTAAAATTTACTATATATAAGAAAAATACAGAATAAAACACACTTTTGTGAATAATTCATATGTTGTACTCAACTAGATAACGTTTTTTTTCTAAAAAAGATAAGAATATAAAATCGTTTATGTTTTTACAAATATTTTGGACATTCATTCAAAATACTATCTTAATAAGGTCTAGACATTTTGTTATTATCTCTAGGGTTGCCATAGTGACCAAAATATGCCAAACTGGAATTTTCCCGAAATCAACCAAATTGTCCAGAAAATATACTACTCAAAAGTTAAAGAACACCCGATTCTTTCATATTAGTAAAGTTAAACGTTCAGTTTAACTACAGTAATATGAATGAATCGGGTGTTCTTTAACATCTTTTGAGTGGTATAAAACCAGGACAGATGTCAGTTTATGTAGTCGTCAGTAATTGCCATTGTGTTTCCATGGTGATTCCGGGCAGTTTTAATGAATTCTGAGACGTGAGAACAAGCAAATATTGTACCTGACAACACGCGGACGTTTAGTAGAGGTATCTGAATGAACTATGGGAGGTGCTGAACATCCCCTGTATTGACGGCTAGACAACGTTATATAACGTACACCTCCCATTCAATTACCTGTGTCACCTTGGTAAATATTACAGGTATGTGGGAAGTTTTTTTTCGTAATGAATCAATTAGTTTTTCGAAGGCTAAAGTGTAGACATGTCATCCGTGTGTGACTTAGAACGTAAATCTATTTATTAATTACAGGAAATATATTGACAGCGGGCGCAAAAGAACCTATCATATGACAAAAATGACAAGGAAAGAATCTACATTTATATACATCCTTTTTCACAGATTATCAACATTCAACACATTTATTCACCATTAAACATCCAGCACATCTATTCACCATTTAACATCCAGCACATCTATTTTAACCATCTAACATTCAGCTCCTCTATTCACCATTCAACACAGCTATTCACCGTTCAACATTCAGCACATCTGATCACCATTAAACATTCAGCACAACTATTCAACATTCAACATTCAGCACAACTATTCAACATTCAACATTCAGCACAACTATTCAACATTCAACATTCAGCACATCTATTCACCATTCAAAATTCAGCACATCTATTCCCCATTCAATATTCAGCACATTTATTCACCAGTCCACAGTCAGCACATCTATTCACCATTCAACATTCAGCACATCCCAGGTGTCACGTTGTAAACTATTGGTACTTAAGTTGAAGAGACGCGGGGCGTTGTTGTATGTCTGGCCACATGTCACAAGCTGTGCCACTGGAGGAAGAAGATATCGGTTCCTTTATCTGTTGTGTATCTCAGCAGGTTACAACTGACTGATACAAACAGCCACTGCATGGCGGGAATATACGACCAAATCAATGTCACCCTGATCAATACATACACTGAACTGGTCTAACACGCAGCAATATAATATCTGTACACTGATTCAGAATTATATAAAACATCAACAGCAGGGAACAAGCAGTCTCGATTATTCCATTGGGCATAAAAGGCAAAAAAGTAGTGAACATTATATGAATGGATCGACTGAAAATCAGTGATGACACCAGGTGTTCGCGAAAAGGGTTAGAACCACAGGGACTCGATGATAGTGTGTATAGCATAATATATTCGTATAGAAAAAAATTCACACCCCTCTATATACATATAGTCTATATATATAGAGGGGTGTGAATTTTTCTTCGATACGAATATATTATGCTATACACACTATCATCGAGTTCCTGTGGTTAGAACGTCCTACCTCCAAAATAACAGTGTAGATTTCAAGGAACTAATATTGCTACAATGTCAAAGAGAACATAAGAAAGAAATATAAATATTCACATGATTTATTCATAAATATATTCACAATGTAATATCACATGCGGAGGTCGTTGGTTATGAAAATGTGAGAAAGCTACAAGTGCATCTTGTTCACGATGAGAAATGACGTGGGATCTATTTTCATAGGAAACAATTTCCCCTATCACCACAAGCGGTCACCGATGGTGCAATAGTTTACTTAATGTGTAATGTACAATGAAGCGTATGCTTAATATTGCGTAATATGTATCCCGAAATACATTTAGATCAAATGTCATGGACATGTCATGTAAAGACACATGTTACATTTGAATACATATTATTTGTTCCAATGATCAATATGAACCGGATGATAAGTCAGTTTATCCTGAATTCGTCAAATTAATAAAGTATTCTACAAATATAAATATATACCTTAATGACGTTCGACGTAAAAGCTAGGGAAAGCAAATTCTTCGCTCCGTGAAACGAACGAGTCGTTGATACGTCTTGCACAAATGAATTATGGCACAGTTTCAAAATGGCAGTTCGTCATTGCAAATATGTAGTACCTGGATCACAACCAAATTATAAATATGTATAGTTTGGCTCTATGTTTACTCCCTGCCACGATGAAGGGATCGCATTGCCTTGGCGCACTGCGAAAGAGTTTGGAAATGTCTGATGGAATCCGGGCAATGATGTGGCAGACGACATTCCGGACATCGTCTGCTGGTGAGGGTACTGGCTCTCACTTTCCAATGAAACAGGAGCGATTTGATTAAAGTTCAGATGGAAACGTTCGTTATTGTTGTGTTGCGGTTGTTGTTGGTGTATGTGATGATGGTGCTGAGACTGTTGGTGTTGTTGATAGACGTTGAAGTTGTTGACATTTTCTTCAGTGGACTGCATGAAATTTGCCGCCATATTTGAGTTTGAGCACGGCCATGACGGGCTTCGGTTTGAGAGATCGGGAGACGAACTGCAGTAGGTTTCCGACGAGTCTGAGAATGATCTTGGACTACATGTCCCAACACTCCCAGGGGTCCGGGCCGCGTCACGTGGGGGGTCCTGCCAAGACCCCGATAACAAATCACTGATGTCAGTCTGCCCCAAGATACTCTCAATCGTGTCAGCAGGCAAGGATGGGTATGGGTTTAAGGCAGGATCGAACCCTAACGTATTAAACGTTGCTAACGCTAACGGTGGCATTGCAGGGTCGACAACGTCCAGACCATCTCGGTCCCCGGTTCTTGCACCAGGCTCCGTGAAAAATGATGCCGGTAGATTTCGACTTCTCAGAGGTTGCTTTGGACCAGTTGACTTCGGTTGATCTGTACAGCAACGTTCATGTAGCGTCCGGGGGTCAAACAGAGCTTGGAGAGATTTAATCTGTATACCAATCTGTGACGTTTCTTTCTTGTTAGATTTGGTACTTGAAGGCACACTGTTCACAACACTAGTTCTGCTTTCTCCGGAGCGTCTCGGAGAACCCCCGCATCGTTTCAGTTGCTTCTGAAGGTACTTTCTATGGTTAACCTTCCTTTTTGACTTGGAAGGTCTGTCCAGAGCAAGTTTAATGTTACTTGATGCCATGTCAACAAAATTCAACAAATTCGCAGTGTCATCCCTCTCCTGCATCTCAGAATCGAGGTTCATGGGTGGTGTCATCAAGCTTGTCATTTTGAAATCTTCTCTTTCAGGATTCAACGAGAGATTTAGATCATATGTCCACAAGTCGTATGTCAGCACAGTCACAGTCACTTAGCCAGTGTGACAGACAGGACTTCCACTTAGTTAGCCGTGATCAAAACTAGGAAACATCACATGTCACAAAATAAGTTTTAAGAGCCACTGTGGTCGACCGAACCAGGAAAATCCTCGAGGAAAGTGCACGCTTGATCTCAAGTAAGGCTGTCACGGTATTGAGTGATCAAACCTGGTGTTGACTTCCCACAACGTATAAATAGCTATGGGTGGAAATAAATTAACCTTTCAAAATAAGATTATTGTAAACGTCCACACTAATCCTCGGTCTCTTTATGGGACCGTCAGTCAACCGGATTGGTCGTCCAGATTTGGCGATCACTCCTCCTTGGCTTGGCTTCACTGTGCCCTTTTTTATCCCAACACCGCAAAGCAAACACAAATGTGACGCTTGATTGACTGGTCCAAGTGTAGACCCGGGATGAAGTTGACAGATTGTCGTCTGCGACTCTCGTGCTCACGCCTGCTGTAAGCGGGTAGAGACTAGTCATGTGACCTGTCTGTCGTCTGCTCCGCTATTTATCCTGGATGGGTGGGGCCGAGTTGATGAGAGCTCACTGAATTGGGGTGGTCTACGCTCAGGTCGCCCGAGGTTAAGTTAACAGTGAATAATACCTGGCCAATAGCTGTGACCGTAGAGTCCCAAGGTAGAGTGACTCTGACCGTTATGTGGGTTATTCTGAACATAACGAGTCGGCCCTTAACACAGCAGGGAGGCACTTTGATCGACAAACATAGGTCTATAAAATAAGCTACCTCCCCCACAAAAGTACACAGACGCTCCACAAAAGGTCGAAAGTTAGAGGAATGAGGGGTTTATTGCCTCGGCAGTAGTATTGATAGTGCCTCCCATAGTATCTGAAGATTCGGCGACACAGCTACTGCTCTAATAAGAGTCCTCTTAACACACAGTATCTCTCTGTTAGCTGTAAACGTAGCTGGGCCTCGCCCTGGCAATATGCCTGGATTAAGGGCCTCTGTAATGTCTTCTTAAGGGATTATATACAATGTGTGTGACACGCACTGACAGTGGACGTGTATATATAGAAATAGCCACACTTACCTGTAACCATAAGTGAATACATGATTTGGTCATGGCTTAACGCCGCTTTTAACAGTATTACAATTATATCACGGCATGTCAGCTTAATGTGGGAGGAAAGCCCGAAGTGATGCAGGTCTCAGACGTTTACCACTTCAGTGAAACAAACGAGCACGGGTATGATGCTGACAAACCTAGAAACATAATCGGGGTGAACCGGAATTCGAACTCACAATCATAGGTTTCTTGCGTACCCAAGGGACGCAACTCTGCACAGAGAATCGCGGCGCCTTAGACGACTGGGCCACCCGTGTCCCCGGCTCGTAAAAATAATGAAATTGAAACGGGTACGAAAACTCCAGATAGGGTGTGATTAAAATGAGGGTGAGGGTATGGTACTAATACGGGGGAGAGGGTGTGTGAGGGAAATGGGGGTGGGGGATGGGGGTAGGTTTGTGAGGGAAGATGAAGACAGAGGGATACATAAGAATAATCCTTAATATTGTGTCTCACACTAATTAACATGACAAAGATCAACATGTTTCAAAAATACATTTCTCCAATATACTTTAAACCTTATATTTACATTATTCTGTCGGAAATGCTTATTTACGTTGAGAAAGAAATTTGACTGTTTCATGAACTCTTAGTCTTAGTCGTATTCATTTCGGTATGTTTTGTTGTCCCCTTCATATATATATATATATATATATATATAATAATAAAGTCCAGGAAGGCTTTCTTACATGACAAGGACGTACCTTTGGCAATCAGGATACATCTAGCTGCTGAAGTTAGAGTTGCCGTTTATGAGAACATTGATCATTGTACCTCCCGATTACATGTATAAAATACACCCTTATATCCATGACAAGGCAGTCGATTAAGTGTCGGGTACTTTTTAAAACTAAATCCTTGAATCCTTGACTTATGTTTCACATGGTTCAATACGTTGACCTATAGATGGAATATTGTACCCTTGTGTGCCGAAGATGATCTGAAAACTTGGTCCAACTGTAAAATAAGTAGCTCTTATGTCAAAACCCGATGGAAAATGATGTTCCCGTGAGTTTCCACTAGAAAAATACTGTTGGGCTCCTTCCTTAAGTCTCCTTTACTGTTTCCTTTTGTGTTTTTCTGTTTCCGTGAGAATGAAGATAAAAATATTTAGATAGATATTATTATGTATGGCCAACTTTATATTCACAGAAACTAAATGTACTGAAAAAGTCTAAAAGTATACAATTATTATTTAATATTGTAAACACGAAAAAGTTCCAAATGTTTACGACATACCTTCTTGTCATTTGTTTAGGCAATACATCAATGATATGTAAAATCATGCTCTTATACCACCGTGGGTGGCCCCTATAAGAATAAAGGCTGCAGAAGGTAATTCCTGTTATTGTAGTTTATGGAATGCTGCACAGTGTAAGAGTGTAGCAGCACACTGGGACAAAATGTCACATTATTGCCTCTATTGAGAGAGTGTTGGATGACAGTGATGCAAAAACCTGATTGTGCATTAGACTTATAACCCAACATCTCACACCACTGATCAGTAATGTGACATTTCAACAACCAGAAATTGATCTCTGTAAAATTGTTTTCCCACGTACTCAACAAAAGTTACTTTCTTACTTTTCTTCCATTTTATGATATTTGCATTATTTTATTCTTGTTCAGGCACCGTCCCCACAGTCAAATACCTCAGCTACATATTCATAAAACTCCCTTTGCGCTCTCACAATAGCGATAGGGGACAATCGTACTTCCCACGACGGAAGCCAATAGTTAAGCCCCGTCCGAGTGCGCTCCTTGATGTCGTCGACATGCGGCTGTTTGTTTAGTCATTTATCCTTCATCTCATTTTGTCATTCAAGATTGTCTTATAAAGGTACCATTGTCTGTCCACCATCAGCAGTTTCTTTGATTAGACTAGTGCTACACCACATGACATATACACACACAGCTTGACATGGCCATCCACTGCTTTAGATGAGGACCAGGTTGATGCATGGATGTAGAGATCTATGCATACAAATTCAGAGTGACAAAAAGCTACCACATGACCATGACAAGAGAGATGAATGGTAGTGTACAGCGGTCAAGTAAATATCTGGTTGAAAAGACTAAGTTCTTCAATACATTACAAGGGAAAGGTCTGGATAATCCCTGGTGAAATATGAAAATATAATATAATAAAGAGAAATTAATATTCAACTATCCTATAGTCAACTTTGCCTTCTTGTCGAGCAGTATTCCAGGAGCTCCGACCTTTGGTGTCTATATTTCACATTGTTCTTGGTTCAATGGAACATGCTCTTTCAACGAATATTTCAAAGGGCGTCATAGGATATTTCCAAATTTGACGCATTAGTGACCAAAATGAAGCAATTCCCTTTTGACTTGTACCATATGTTACCTGTTTTTTTCTTCAAGTGACCACGGAGGATCGAACCACGACCTTCCACTCTCATGGCAGAAGCTCTATCCATTAGGCCACGGACTGCGGTCTCAAAACTTCACCAACACGGGACTATAAAAAATACATCGAATAATCAGTCGTTCGAGATACGCGTTGTGTCGACACTAGACCAGATTGGATAAGGACTCCTCAACGACAACAAGGACACGTCGTGTTAAAACGATATAGTGAGTTATTTCACTGTACACCTTAAGAAAAACGTACAACTTTATGGATACCAACTTCTGGTTTATTTCATATAGCGACGTTTCGATGTGGATTCCTACACCCTTATTTAGCTGGAGTGAGTGAGTAAGTGAGTTTGGTTTAACGCCGCTTTTAACAGTATTACAGTTATATCACGGCGTGTCAGCTTAATGTTGGAGGAAAGCCCGGAGTGATGCAGGTCTCAGACGTTTACCACTTCGGTGAAACCCACGAGCACGGGTATGGTGCAGACAAACCTAGAAACATAATCGGGGCGAACCGGGATTCGAACCCACAATCATAGGTTTCTGGCGTGGTCAAGGGACGCAACTCTGCAAAGCGAATCGCGGCGCCTTAGACGACTGGGCCACCCGTGCCCCCCTGGAGTAAGATAACGGTGCAAGAATCTAGAAACGTCGCTATATGCAATTAATCAGAAGTTGGTATCCATAAAATTGTACGTTTTTCTTAATTATTTACCAACTTCTAGAATGCCAATCAAAGAGTTACTCTACAACGTGCATTTCTATCAATAATGAATTCTCACGATAGTAGATGGCCAATATGAAATACCGAAATTCATACGAAATTTTATGCGCAATCAAACACGTATCCCACTGATGTACAGAGTTAAGCTTATCAATACACAAAAAATATTGCTTTATCTTTAAACGAATAAACGTGTGTGGCGAAGATCCGTCATCAATTGGCAATACCGATGGCGTCAAAGCTACAGTCCTGTCCGCGTCGCGCCATCCAATCAAGCAGACCTATGAATATGATTAAAGACTTCCTTGGAGAGTCATGTCGGCCTCCCAAATAACCCTGGGGATTTCCTTAAAAAATCACAGTTTCTTTTGCTGAAATGTTCTTTCACCTAAAGAACGAGTTTCTATGGAAAGACGACTTCGTGCACTAAAAGCACGCCTTGTCACGGGAGTCAATTATAAATGTTAGAATTAACTTGTTGGGAACATTGTGTGGGCTTATTTTTCCATCTCTAGTTTGAGTAGGGATACTGGGGAGACAGAATGCCCCATTGTTATGAAACATATGAGAAAACACGAGGCGTGTGGCGTAATTTAAACACGGATACTTTGTTATTAAGTCTACAATTTGTTTCCTGAACGAATACCCCTTTGTGACTCGCCATAACTCCGTAAAGATTGGCTAGTCATTAAACTTGACGTAATAAACTTTCCTACACGCATGCTGCAGCGCAGGGCTTCATCGAACACATTTTCTTTTATTTAAATAACTCGAATGTGGATACTGAAATATACGGACATTTAAAATTAATATGATGTGCAGAAATCGTAAACATTTTACATAAAAGTTAGAATCAAGCCCTTTCTGTAATCATAAGAAATAGGGGCGGTGGGGTAGCCTAGTAGTTAAAGCGTTCGCTCGTCACGCCGAAGACCCGGGTTCGATTCCCGACATGGGTACAATGTGTGAAGCCCATTTGTGGTGTCCCACGCCGTGTTATTGCTGGAATATTGCTAAAAGTGGCGTAAAACCATACTCACTCACTAATAGGATCGGATGGCCCTTAATTTCCTTCGAGTAGTATATGTTTAGATATGTCAACGACACAACTATTACATTATATTCAGAAAGTGGACAATGAAAGTTTAATAAATGCTGATCGCGTATGCATTATACTGTAAATCTTGAAATTAACGCGATCGTGAATTAAATGCGAAAAATGTGATGTTTGTTCGAATTAATGAAACTTTACATTTACGTCTCGAAAATGACTATCAAGAATAAGACGGCC